AAGCAATCAGTGAGCTGTGGCAAAGGAAAACTGCATAAGGTGTCAGTGTGTATGCACATCTTAATTCATGTGTTTGTCATTGTTAAGTTTGAAGAGGCATGGCAACAAATACTTTGTGACAGAAGCAGTGGTAAAGCAGTCCCCATGAGTGACACTGAGGAATGACATCAGAGGGGACACAGGGGCACTCAGGATGTACAAGCTTAACTCTATCTGCATGTATTGTTTGACCTCTTCCCTCACCTCTCAGCAGAGTTCTTGGCTGCTCTCAAGCTATAGTATTGGACAGAGACTTCGTGAAGGGTCTCGTACATGCCTCACTCCTGGATGCCACCTGCACATGTGCCATCCTTCCTGCCTCAGCCTGTCTAGTGTGTGTTTTAGACCTTTCTGCTGTCCCAGTCCTCTGCCTTGGCTGCCCTGGAAGGTTTGTCTCCATTTCAAGCTCAGCCTCTTGGCCTACTCTAACATAGAACTTCTTTTCCCCATTGTCCTTTTCCTTCTTCACATCTGTTTAGTTCTGTTTCTAGAAAGTGGTTTTGCCAGGTAGTGGTGGCACATGCCATTAATCCCAGCACTCAAAGGACAGAGGCAAGCAGACCTCTGTGAGTTCGAGGCGAGCCTGGTCTACAGAGTGAGTGCCAGGATAGGCTCCCAAGCTACACAGAGAAACCCTGTCTCAAAAAACAAAACAAAACAAACAAACAAACAAAACAGAACCTGATTATTGTAGAGCAATTAGGGTAGGAGATTTAGCTTAATAGAACAGTACTTGCCTAGCTTGTGCAGGGCCTTGAGTTTGATCTCAAGCACCACACACATAAATTTTGACAGCCATTTGTTTAAAATAAACATTTTTTCCTTAAAGCACACACACCAGAATACCATAATGACATAGATTTTAAAAGGCCTTAAGAAGTCCAGGTTTACAAACTGTTTCATGTTTCTAGATCTGGCAGGCCTAGAACAAACACAAAATTCACCCACAAGTTCATCTGGGCTGTCAGAGTGAGCATAGGATGGTGAAATGGGAGAGGGGGGAGGGGCAGAACAATTCATGTGCCAGGGAGAGAGGCAAGGATGGTGAAGAATGGGGTGAGTTAGATGCCCTGCTTGCTACCCAGGGTCATGGCAATGTCTGGGCCTGGGTTGAAGCCAAGGGCCAAAACTTGGTCTGTGACCCTGATGAAACTTTGGGGTCTGTGTTGATACCTGTGGTACCTATTACCTCTGGGGCCTTGTGGATGCCCAGACTCTGGGCCCAGACCTGTGACCATGTTGATGTCCAAGGGATGTGCCCCCACAGAGGCTATGCCAATCCAGGATTACTACATTGCAACTCAGGACCATGGCAACATCCATGGCTGCCGGGTCCATGTCTGGGTCCATGGCCCTTTGTCTGGGCTCTTAGTTGATGTTCATGCTCCTGTTGCCACCCAGGACTGTGCAGAGGCTTGCAGTCCAGGCCAACACCTGAGACCATGTTGGTCTTATAAGGTCAAGCTGCCACTACTGGGGTCATAGAGACCTCGGTGGCCCGTGCTGCCACCTTTGATCATGGTATCATCTAGTCCCAAACTGCAGCTGTGGGTCATGTCTGGGTCCCTGACACTACCTCAGACAGGATTTGTGTCAATGTTTGGGACTCCTTTTACCATTGAAGGCAGAGCAAATGCCAGGAGTCTGGGCTGCCATCTGGGGATATGCTAGCAATTGGGGGCCACACCACCATTGGAGCCATGATGAGCAGGTGATCTACAATGCCAACTAGGGCCATGATGACATCCAGTCCCAGACTGCTGCCAAGGAACTATGTTTGGGTCCTTGGTCCTACTGCAACCTGAGTCTGTGCTGATGTCCAGAGCCTGTGTTGCTACCAAATGCCCATGATCTGGACCTCCACCTGTGGCCCTCTTGGTACCCAAGGGCTGTGCTGCTGCTGAGCCCATATAGACCTGAGTGGCATGCGCTGCCACCCAGGGCCAGGGTGTTTCACAGGCCTGACCTATAGCCAGGGCCATGTCTGGGTCCAGGGCCCTACCACAGCCAGGGTCTGCACTAATGTCTGAGGCTCCTGTTGCCATCAAAGGTAGTATGGATGCCAAGGGTCTGGGCCCACACCTGGGGCCATGTAGGGATTCAAGGACCACAGGGCTGTTGGCTTCATGCCAATCTAAGTGGCCTACACTGCCAACCAGGACCATGGTGACATCTGGGCCCAGGCTGCTGCTAAGAACTATATGTCTGTCAGCATCTCCAAGCCCGTAGCATCCTTCAGCCCTCCCTGGAGCTAGTGAGGTACCTCTGTGGGGGAGGAACAATCTAAGGGACCTCTGACAGTGGGACCAGGATGTATTCCTGGTGCACAAAAGGACTTTGGGGGCACATCCCCCGTGGAGGGGTACTCCCTTAGCCTAGAGATAGGAGAGAAGTCCAAGTCCCTACTTCAAATGACTAGACAGATTTAGATGACCCCTCCTGGATGGCATCACCCTACATGTGGAGTGAGGTGAGGGTGGTTGGGATACATGTGAGGAGGGAGGGAGGGAGGGAACTGGGATTGATATGTAAAAAATAAATAAATGAAAAGAAAAAAAAACTGTGGAACTGCTTCCATGTTGGGACATAGAATTTGGGTAACCAGGGCCATCATCATGACTCCAGAATAAACTCATTAAAAAGAAAAAAGAACTATGTCTGGGTCTGTGGTCTACCCACAACTGGGGTCTGTATTGCTGTCCATGCCCTACATTGCCAATTAGGGCACATAAACATCAGGGGTTAGGTTAGTGTCCGAGGGTTGAACCTCTCTCTGCCACGGCCATGCAGATCTGAGTAGATTGTGCTGCCACACAAGGTCATGGTGTCATCCAGACCTGGGCTGATGCCAGGGGCCATATCTGGGTCCTTGGCCCTGCCACAGCCAGTCTGTGTTGATGCCCATGGCTCCTGTTACCACTGAAGGCAGTGAGGATAGGGCTGCACAGAGTAGGCCTGGCTGCAGTACTGGGCAGAACTGGCCCTACCCCTTTGCAACTGCAGCACTTGGAAGAGCAGGCCCTACACCTCCCCAGCGCAGCACAGTGGGACTGTCCCTGCTGGCACGTGTGCAGGTGAGTTGGCCATGAAGACATGAGAGTGGGAGGGCGGGCTCCACAGTCTGTCATGTGGTGGTGTGGGCAAGGAAAAAATACCTCCCCGCCGCTGCCCCTCGCCCTTCGACCCCTACTGCAGGTGGATCACCTACTGCTCCCCGGCAGGAAAATGGGAGAACTGATCCTGCTCCTCACCAGCTACAGAACACAAGAGGGTGGGCCCTGTACCTAGCCCAGGCCACACAATAAAGCTGACCACATTAATGGGGTCCAAGTAATCTGGTGCCTTGAACTCACATGGGAGATCGAGCCCCACCCTTCATCTGCTACATGACCTCTCCCCTCCCACACCCGTTACTGCCTGTGGCGGGTAGTAGAGTTGACCCTGAGGTCATGAGAGTGGGAGAACTGACCCCCTGGCAGCAGCACTCAGGTTCTTGCACCTCACCCAGGCTGCACAATAGAGCTGACCCTTTTGGTAGGGGGTGCCATGAGCTTGCCCGGGGAGCATAAAAGCAGGAGGACCGGCCCTACCCCCATCTGCCATGTGTGGCTGTGGATGAGATGAAAAGCCTCCCCTCTCCCCTTGCCATCTGCAGCAGGTTAAAAGGGTGGTCCTGGAAGTCAGGAGAGTGGGAGAGCTGCTCCCACCCTGCATCAGGGGCAGCGCATGGGAAAGCGGCCACAGCTCCTCAACTGAGAGCACACTAGAGTTGATCCTGTTAGTGGGGGGGGGGGGGGGCTAAGGCGATGTGAGAGCAGCCCCCACCCGCTCCCTTGTATGCCATGGGGTACAAGGGTAAGGGAAATGTGCCCTCCTCCTCTCACCCCCCTCCACCTGCGACAAGTGGGTGGGCCCTGCTCCTCCCCAAAAGTAGCAATCCCGAGATTGGAGCCTGCACCTGGACTGGGCAAAACAGAAGCGCTGGCTCTCGTGGTAGGAGTGTGGGTGAGTTGGACCTGATGGTATGAGAGCAGGGTTGGCCCCACTCCTTTCTGTCTGCTACATTGTATGAGCTAGAGGGGTGGGGGCGGGGAGGCGCAGTGCTGGAGAGTGCGCCTGGGTAGTGACGATGGATGAGATAAAGCTGGCAGGCTGATCAACCCAGCTACCACTCAGGCCCAGAACCAGGACTACAAGGTACCCACCCCAACATCCATTTCATCTATGAACTGCTGGAGCATGTGAAGGGGCCAGACCTACAGATGTAAAGCTGCAGGATCTTCACAACACAGGACAACAGGATAGCCAAGAGGAGTCTCAGTGATGGCCCAGTATCCATAGTGTAGCTGAAGCCAGAGGCCTGGAACCAGACCAATGACTCACTGCAATGAACACTTAACAAGTAAAGATGTATGGAGTAAAGGATATACTGTGTGACTCACTGGATCACCCTGCAGCTTCCATGCAGAGATTTGTGGGGGGTTTTGGTTATTTTTTTTATCTTTTTGAGACAGGGTCTCACATATATCCCAGGCTGGCTTTCAGTTGTGACCCTTCTTTTCAATGCTGGGATTACAACTCAACAAGTTGATTATTTTCTATATTGTAAGGAATATTTAAAACAGGATTTGAAAAATTAACATCTGTAGAACAGCTGTACATCTTTGTAGGCTACACCAACTGCCTTTGGCAAGCATGACTGAATGATCTCATGGTGACATAGAACAAAGACAAAGATATGCACACATATTTATTTAATCTTAGATTGACCAAGAAAAACAAAATCCCATTTTGAGTGAGGTCTCCAAACCTACAACACATTTTATAATGCCCTCTTCTATATGACTATGACCTTTAAATTTAGTAGAACTTGGGAAAAATATCCAAATAAGCAAATACAGTTGGTGAACACAAAGTAGCTAGTGGTTCCCCCTGGTCTTCATCTGGAAGGTAGGTCCACTTGCTACACTGAGGGCTTCCTTACTCCTTCAGAAAATATTTCAGTTGTTCCTGTAGGTGATAAATCTGTAAGGAGATTACAAACATTATAAAAGTTATCTGAATTTTTCCTGGTATTCCAAACTTCATTTTTAAAAACATCCTTCATTACAATTTCAGAAGTATGACAAAAATTCTGCTTTTACCATATCAAAGAATTGATATCAATCCCAGTTCTCACTCCCTCCCTCCTCCTGCTCTCCCCACCTTTCCCCTACCCTAACTCCATCTATTACTCAGAGGGGGAAACATCCCATGGGGAGTCAACAAAGTCTGGCACATCACTTTGAGGCAGGACTAAGACCTCCCTGCTATATCTAGGCTGAGCAAGGTATCCATCCAAAGAAAATGAGCTCTAAAAAGCCAGTTCAAGCACTAGGGATGAATCCTGGTCCCACTGCCAGTGACCTCAAAGATTGCCCAAGCCACATAACTGTCACCCACATTCAGAGGGCCCAGTTCAGTCCCATGCAGGTTCCCTCGCTGTCAGTCCAGAGTCAGTGAGCTTCCACTAGCTCAGGTCAGCTGGAGGACAAGTATTTTAACTGTCTTATTCAACACTCTATCCAGGGCTTTTCACTCCAGAGGTATTTAATAACTGCTGAATGAACAGATTTTCAAAAAGATCTTGATCCATCCACCCTGCTATTTTCACTCAGAATATATGTTTACCACTACTCTTTAAGACAAGGAGCCTGAAATTAGCTTAGAGGTGGGTGAATTCTTCATAGCAATTTATTTATTTAAAAACATGCTTCTTACCTCCTCACGCTTTTGTTTTTCCAATACATTAAGCTGCCCCAAAACATACTGGAAATGCCTCTGAAAAAATAAATTGTAGCAGTGATGAAAGATGTATCTTAAAGGAAGAGAGAACCACAGAACACAGTTTGTCACATATTTGATAACAAAGCTGTCAATTATAGGAAGAACAGTTTTTTTTTTTTTTTTTAGAAAAACTGGAGCACAAAACTGCTACCTAACAATCCAATCTTATTTTGTGTACTCTCTTCAACATTTTTCTTTTTTTAGATAATTATAATATAATATTATGAAACAAAAATGAACATCAAAATAATACAAAATAAAGAGAATTTTAAAAAGTCCCCCCAAGATATAAGAAACAAATAGAGATATATATTCTCGTATTCAGGAATCTCATCAGAACACAAAACCAGAAGACATAATATATATTGAAAAATAGTAAGGAAAAATAGGTAAACTAAATTTTTTCTTGTCCTCAAATAAATGGGTTAAATGTCTACATGTTACATTTTTCCAGGTATTGTATAAATCCTCCATTTCCTCTCACTAGAACAGAACATTATTACTCCTAACACTACATACAACACCACATATATGTAAATCACACATATCACAACAGTGTCAGATATCTAAATCTTTCAGGATGTATCTAGACCTATTAACTTTGGCTATTCCAAAGGACCACAGCCAAAGTGGGTCCATAGCTCTATGCCAAGCTGCTTCCCTTTGACAACTACTGCTCCAAAAAAGAAAAAAAAATGAAATCTAGCAAAGGATTTGCTCAGTGCTTTAAAATCACCTTACTACCAAGATGGGAGTAAATGTGATATAGCAATATATTTTCCTATCACTGAAACTCTGAAAAATATATCCATAAAAATAAAATAATTTGTTCATGTTTCAGCATACATGATATGTATTTTAAATTAGTTTGGTTATTTTTTACTGAAATATATTTTGGTATTGCTATTTACTATGGTTCCTCTTGCAGTTTTAATTCTATTTTTCTTTTCTTCTTTTTTACTGTGTAGCCCTGGCTAATGTGGAACCCGTTATGTGTGGCCAGGTGTTGTCAAATTCACAGAGATCCACCTCTGCCTTATCAGTACTGGGGGAAAAAGCATGTGTCATGACACCCAACTAGTTTTAATTTTTTGTAAAATGTAAGTGGTGACAGTATCTATGTTTCAGGAAACTGAAGATTAAATAATAATGCATAATTCTATTATGCACCATTTGCATAGTAAATGCTCAGTATGGGTCAGTATCTCAGGTCACCTGGTCCTTTCCCCCATAAAAATGCTTAGATTATAAAACTCAGATATAATAAAACAGGAATATTTTCAGTAGAAGTTTCTAAGAAGTTATTTAGATTTATGATGAAATACTTAGTGGTGGCACGAGTGGAAACACGGAGATGGAATTCTGAAAGTAAGGTACCAGGATGTTTAACAGCTAAAAAGAACTTACCTTAAGGGTCAAGTTTTCCACATTCCGAAGGAGCTCTTTCTGACGTTGTGCTTTTTTATAAATCTGCTGGAGCTTTTTTTCTTTGTAATGAATCAATTTCTGAATGTCTGTGACTAAAGGAAATAAAGGATTTTTGTATATAAATATATCTTTAAATAATGAACCAAGTCACAAATCAAGTAAAACTCCAAGGACAAAAAACTTTTAAAAACTAAGCATTGCACATAATGCATGTTCAGAGTTAGCCTTTTATACTGCCACCCCCCACCCAATTCCTTTGTCTTTTCCTCTGACTTACTTGTTGAACTGTGATCTTTGTCTGATTCGTAGAAGCCAGGTTGATTGAATTTGGCTTGCAGCTCCCTTTCTAAGGCTGCTTCAGACTTGTCCATCTCCTTTTGTTCCTCATCCTCTTTATCATCTTCATCATCCTCATCCTCATCATCACCATCACTCGCCTCATGATCATCCTCATCCTCATCTTCAATTTTACCATCCTTTTCTTCCACATCATTGCTGTTACTGCCAGAATCACCAAACATCTCTCGCAGCATATCATAGTCTATTGATTTTAAGCAGGGATAAAATGAAACAATCTGAGTCTTTGGAAATGACCATAATCCCAAGTAGAAGTACATGCCTTACAATGAACTTTACTGGGCAACCAGTGAATTATTTTATGAATTATTTTCCTATAGGAAGAGTATTCCCTATGAAAAATAAGGACAAGGAATGTGAAACACTAACATTTGTGTATTCAGTTATCAACATATCTAGGGAAATTAAGGGCCCATAGGAAGTTGAATACTAGGGCAGATAGGAGAATAGAATTCCAATCTAAAAATGATGTGACAGATGATCCCCATGGGAGGCCTCATCCTCTCTGAGCAATAGATGGGACTAGAGTCGGGAGAAGGTGAAGGAGCTGGAGGATGGGAAGGAGAGGGAACTGGGATTATTATGTAAAACAAGACTGTTTTAAAATAAGTGAATTTCAATCTAAAAACCCTGGAAGTAAGGGAGGACCAATGAGGGAAGGACAAAGGCATCCTTTTTCTGATTGGTCTGTGAGTCTGTGGACCTATCACACAGTTAACACTTGCCCTTATGTGAAGCTCCTCCTATATTTTCAATAAAGTACCTGATGAGCTAGGACCACTCATTTGTGGGGTTCCTGGCATGCCTGAGATGAACCCTTGACTTTCTATTTCCTTGGTTTCATCATCAGCAATGACTTCCCAGCCTGAAAGTATAGTAGTCAAGGAAAAAGCAGAAGGCAGAGAGAACATATACTTGAAAGGGAAGTGGCTCTTTAACTAAAAGTGCTCTTAATATTTAATTTAGGTCAAATTTAGATAATTGTATCTGTATTCCTAGTATGGAGAACTACCTTATATTAAATTACATGCATAAAGACACTTCTACTCTCTTTATTTACCACTTCTACCTAGAAAATAACATTTCAAAATTTTTAAGTTATACACATCAAACCTGGCACTTGAACACTACAAGTGAGGACTAAGCATGCTGCTTAGTGCTGCAGGGTTTACCTAGCATAGTAAGGCTCTGAATTTGATCTTCAACATCTCAAACAAAAGCAAAACCACATGCACATGACATGAAACAGACTATAGGGAAAGTTTGTGATGTAAAGGATACGGACACTGATGGCTTCAGCATCTGAGCACAGCAATCTCTTCACTTCCTTTTCCACATTTGGAGATTCAGCATACTGAAGCAAAGTATGGAAGGAAATAGCAGTAATGTCAGTTAGCATCCAGTTTTATGTAAATACACTTTTTCTATATGTTAACAGATTGAAATGATTGGGCCTTGTTAGATGTTCATCCAACTTAAATAGTACTATTTATGAAGGAATCTATCCAATATCTGTATTTTTTATAGCAAACTAATTTTTTCACAATTAAATCATTTTAAATATTTAACCTTATCTATATACAACTCTATGGAAAAGAGTCTCAACATGTATGTCTTATTTGCCTTGACTCATTGGCAAAGAGCAATAATTCCATATTAGTTACTTATGACTATTTTGGTTTAAAATCCGAATTCCCAGACTGCATTTTTTCCATCTTATCAAAATGTTCCTACAAAAATCAAATCCCATCTGCTTGTTCTCACTTAAACACAGTTTTAAACAATTATTCCAGAGCAATTAATCCCTCATGACACAATTATAAATCAAGGCTTTTGATGAGAAATCCCATTAGTTCAAGCAATTGTTTGGTAAATTGAACCCTTAACTCCAAGGAATACCTTTTGAAATGAAAGTAAGAGTTTGTAATACATTGCAACACTAACAAAACTGTTGATCTTTTACCCCAGAAGTTGTTATTGAACAATAAATAATTATTTCACAGTGAATAAAGTCCATATGCATGTGTATGTATGTATGTTTATATCAAGCATACTAAAGTAAACAACGAAGATTATGACCACTGCTGTACCTCACTGAAGCTAATTTCATCCATTTGTTTGACATCAGGAAGCTATGAAGTAAAGTACAACAAAGAACAACATTATATTTTGATTTTCTACTTAAATCAAGCTTAAAGAGCTCTACAACTTCTTTTATATTTAAGTAGACAACAAATTTCATTGACTGGAAGTTTATTAAGCTAATGTTAACACATAAATTAGGAAAGCTGATCCACAACTTTAACACAGTTTTAAAATTCTGACAATTCTAGACAAGGTTTTCTGTCTAGATATACAAGCTTATTCTAAAATTCATATGAAGGACACCGATTCTAAAATTTTTTAAAGCTATATTGGTGATGCAACATGAAGTGGTAGCAGTCAATCTTCTGATTTCAAGACTTACCACATTACAGTCTCTGTGGAGGGATCAACACATGGATCCGTGGGACAGAATAAAGAACCCTTAAACAGTTCCATACAAATATTCCCGAGGAAGAGGTGGAGGAGGAGAGGAGGAGGAAAGGGAGAAGGGGAATCTTAAATTACAGCTTGTGCTTTCATAAAACTAAAATATGGATTGCAGGCATAAATATAACATCTAGGCTAAGCAAATACTCCTTAGATTTAATAACAAAAAACCAAAATCCTTGAAACAAAAATATGAATAAATTAAGCCTCATCAAAACTAAAAAAAAATTTGTTGACCCCTCCTGGAAGGCATTACCCTCCCTGAGGAGTGGGGAGGGGATGAGATGGGAGGGGTGTTGAGAAGCATGGGAGGGAGGAAGAGAGAGGGAACTGGGATCCATATGTAAAATAAGAAAAAAAACTAAAAATCTTACTGTCTATAAGCTTATGAAGAGGACTAAAAACTCAAACTAACAACTATGAGAAGTTGTTAGTTAACTATGTATATATGGTGAAAGACTAGTTAGTATACAGAATAGAAAAAGAACTATTGAGACTTAGCAATCAAGTCATTTGAGAAAATGGCAAAAGAAGCTAGATGTCATGGTGCATGTCTGCAATCTCAGCATTCAGACAATGAGGCTGGAGTACTGCTGAAAATTCAAGGCAATTATCTATCCAAAAAATACAAATTAATACAAATTACAAAACAAATACAAAAAATACAAATCACTAGACACTTACAAGAATGGCTAAAATAAAATAAAAATGACAAGACTTACTGCAGGTGGGGAGGTGGAGAATGCATTATATACTATTGGTGTTAATATAA